GGCTGACCTGCATCCGGGGCGTGGGGAAGCCTCTTCAACCTCACACGAGCAGTTTCGTACCCGTACAACCGATCCTGAAGGCATTGTAGCAGACAAGGCCTCTTCCTGAAACAAGCAACGCTGCTTCTCAGCTGCGGACCCGCTTGAACTTGATGAGGCTTTTTGCAACCGCCCCGCCGTTGCTGTCAGACGTACCAGTCGATGCAACCAGCTCCTGTTCGTGATACCTGCCCAGACGAGAAATTCCCGCAATCTAGCTATTTCCATGACCAGCCGCAACGGTCTCGCTCTCAACCCCACGAATTGAATAATGTTTGAAAGGTCTGGAGACCCTTAAAAGCCTCATGTTGACGAGCATGCACGATGATCCTCGTTGCGATGTCGGCCAGGCGCTTCGAGTCGCTTCGAGTCGTTCTCGGCCCTGACCTGCATCCCCCGCAAGCGTGGCGCAACGTAGTGGGGAACGCTCAGATCGGCTCACGCAGCCAAGCTTTTCCTTATCTCTGCCGGATGCGCGCCCCTGATTGGCCAGTCCGGCTTCGCCGTTACCATTTGCATTTCGTCAGCGGCCCGCGGCATCAGGACGTTGTGTGTTGCGTTCGTGTCAACACAGCGCACGCTGTGAAATGAGGAAAATTTTGGTGTACGCAAAAGTCATATTGTATGAAGGCATTCGAAGACAGTCGGGATGGTCGATGTAAGGCTGAGGTTGGAGAACGCAAGGTTATATCAGTGGCGGTGCTGGTGACCGAATAAGGCAAGGTGAGAGTATGCTCCACGTGCTTTGGGGGTTTCGAAGATATGCTTGTATCTACTCCGTATCAAAGCTTCGAAGATCGTCAACTTCGAACGTCTGGTTGGCAGCTGCTTCCATTCGCAAGGACGGAGTCTTTGGCCCGGTAGTACGGCGTGGGCTGGCTGATACACCAGGTTGAACTGATCGAAGCCCTTCTGCCAGTGAGACACAGTCCGCACCTTCCTTATCCTCTCTTTTTCGGAACAGCACATCGAGTCCACCTTGGCAGGTGGCTAACACGATCGTTCCTGCAGGAGGCAAGAGTTCAGCGCGGGAAGCGTTGCTGCCCATCAATGAGGACGCAGCCGGGCATCCGGGAGCTACCGCGAGATTAAGAAACGGTGCCGATGGTCTGGTAATCCGGGGTAGAAGGCGTGATCTGGGGCGGTTCTCGGACTTCTGACGTGAACGCTTGTTCGTGCTCCGGTCCAAATGCGCAGCTCTCCTAGCCGGTTAGTCATCACCATTGTAAAAAGCAGCCCCATCAGGAAATGTCACACCATTCTAGACGCTCAATTGGCTCCAGCCTGATGCGTGGTGGATGGCCTGACCTAACATCTCGGCCACAGCCTGTCTCCCCGATTTCGTCACAAGGTTCGACATACTGCAAAGCTTCAAGAAGTTGGTTATCGAGTGCCTCATGCCCCCCCAATAACACAACAGGATGGTTAGACCCAGCGAAGAAAAAGATGGGCGACTTTCACATCCTAAAAGTAGGGCGAAATGGACGTTGAAGCGTTGTTGCTCCGATAATCGCTCAGTGACATCTTGTGTCATGCTCAAAGCAGGAAGGTCTTGGCGAACTATCTAGGAGTACCCCCCCTGCCCCAGAATCTTTGTTCTGACGTTTTCGTACTCTGCTGACGTTGCCTTAGGATTTGATGTAGTTCGCCCTGCAGCTGTCATCCACGTGACTGGATGTTGAAAAGTCACCCCCGAGGCCGATGCGGTTGGCTGTTGCTAACGCCCATGGTGACCGCACAATTCGATACAGCCATGCCATCGTAGAACCTCGCACTATTAATGATTCTCAGCTTAACTTCGCACTTCCATGCTAGATGTTTCCACCACTGCAGCAGTACCGGTCTCCACGGACGGGGTGCATGATGCTTACACTTGAAAAATGGACTGTTCTGGGACGCGATCAATTTTTAGAAAAGGCGATCTCATACCATAGTCGTACCCTAGTAGGCTCAGCTGTTGGCAGTGTCTGATCTGTCATCGCCCTAGGTCTGACAGTGCCATTGAAGAGTTTCGACGCCTTCACAATGATCGTACGCAAACATTGTATCGATGAAGACAGCAAAAGGACTCCGAGCGATGTGCCAGTGCAAACTATCTTGGTGCACAATGTCCACTTACCTGGTACCCAATAAATGAGGTGAAGCAGCCACCTCGTCTTCCAGCTCCCTAGGAAATCTGGATCGTCCCTAATGCCACGAACGACACTGGCTCTTCGTAGAACTCATAGCTCCATCCATTCTGGAACTGGAACGAGGCTATATCCGGAATGTGTCTTATGGAAGACATCTTCCACTCCAAGTGTGGACACTGGAGTAGACTTTCCGAATTCGTAGGAGAGCCATGTGTTCGTTCAACGGTGGTGGACGGGCGACACATTAGGTGTTTGGATGCTGAAAAGTGGAGTTCGTCATCCCACGGCGAGTACTGTTCTGCTTGCCGACATCGTGGGGAGGGCTGGAGACCGTTCGCAGGGATAAGTCCTGCTGGTTGGGCGAAGATCCAGGAGAAGAGTAGGATTTCCTCCTCGAGGGATAGAGATTATTCCCAATTGGCGCTGAAGGTATGAATCTTGAGCGACATTTGGATGATGACACGAACATGAGCTCACGATGAGAGTGCTTTTGATACTGTGTCTCTCTAGACAATTTATCAGTGAAGTGCCGATGTATAGGTCGTCGGGTTCAGCCGTAGATTATGAACAGACGAGGACGTAGAACCTCCCACGGTAGTTCGTGGTGGAATGTCGGCTGGCGTAACGTGCTTCCGCCCGCAACAGAAGTATCGCCTCGACAGGTAAGAATATAACTACAGTCCGTCCCTCCCTTGGTCAAAAGACGCAATCTATCGCGAGAAGAGTTGTAGGGTTTTTAAAACTTAAATAACTCTTATACTATAATAATATTAATAATATTAAAAATCCCTATAGTTCTAAGTTAACTATATTTCATAGTCATCCTAGAGTATACCTATTAGGTTGGGCTAAAAGATTAGAACAGTATAATTACCTTTAGGCCTAGCTATAAGAGAGCTTTCTTTTATCGTACAATAAACCTTCTTAACATACGCACCAATCGCTTATCAGCAACACGGCGGTCCTGATCCAGATCAGATGGACTTAGATCCATATCCTCCTGGTTTCCCGCCGCCACCTCCGCCGCCGACAGAGTACCTTTCCATACGAGTATTGATTCTGGAATGGGATAGGAATGATCCAGAACTCCAGGTGGAATGGGAGATCGCTGAGCTAGAACGAATTTTCAAAGACATCTTTGACTTCGACGTCAGGAGAGTGAAGATGAGAAGCGGAAATCCAGAGGGCGATCTCAGCATTGCGATAAATACAATCAACGCTGAAGATATTAGAGATCCCTCACTACTCATAATGTTCTACACAGGCCACGGAGTCGAAACATGGTCAAGCGAAAACGCGCGTTTCGAGGTGATTTTGGCAAGGTTCGAAGCCCCCGCATGATTTCGATTTGATCTCACTAACGTAATTATGTGTTAGAGACAGGAATTCGCCGATTCATGCAAATTGGTCAAGTACTGTCCTAACCTCCTACAGGGAGGCTCATGGGGACGTGCTATTAATATTCGATTGCTGTTTCGCAGGCAATTTGCTCCACTGTCTCCAAGATACAGCTGTACCGTTCTTCAATGGGGCAAGGAATGTGCAGGCTATCGTTGCGGCCAAAGCTCAGAACTATGCTTGGAAGGCATTTGAAGGTGCACTTACAAGACTGCTCATAGAGGCACTGCAAAGTCTCAGTCGCGCCACTTTCTCACCCGCTGAGCTCTTCGCCCGCATTGACCAGAGCAAAATGCGCTCGGAGCCGTATCACTACGTGGTGAAGGGAAAATCAGATACTCGGATTGGGAGGTTGGACCCCGCGCTAGCAAATGCAAGAGATTCCCAGAAGTATGGAGAAGATATAGGCTACTTGGAACCGGAAATGAAGGTATTGAATGATGACATACGGAATGGAGCAGAGGCATCTCGCTCGCTCGCGCGATATACAAACAGCATTATGTAAATAACGGATTCTAAGGGTGAAGTTGTGTCATTCGTAGAAGCGGTGTTTTCATGAAGCCATTTTTGATCGGTGCCGACTCGAAGGTTGCGGTGAAGCCTGGTTTCTGAAGCTGCTCATTCTTGGTGGTGACTGGTCTCTGTGCCTTCGATTTTGGAGCAGGCGATCGTTCGGAAAAGCAGATTTCATGACCATCAGAATCATAATCAGCTACCGCTCTGCTGCAAATCATTCGTCCAGGTGGGATCTGGGGGCCACCTGGTTCTCCGTCAAGAGTAGTCCACTTCGACATCGCGAGAGGAGAAGGCCTCGGTAAGGAAGATTATCTTTTGAAGTTTACCACAAAGGTTATCGCTCATGCACTCGCGACGACCTGCAAAGACGCTAGCATCGGTTGATCAGCCAATGAAATTCTCTTGAAAAGTGGCTTGGAGAGGTTTAGCTTCTTGTGAGGGCGATAGGGCAGAGAACTGAGAGATAGTGTAGACTGCTCCTATGTACGAAAGGTTGGTGTAGGGACCCAGCTGGGCTAGCTCGGAGGTGCGAGGCGGAGGCGAGGAGGTGCTGTTGGGGCTCTGCTCCGAAGTAATTCTCCGGATTTAAGCCGAAAGTTGAGTACCCTGACAACCACTCAATAATATCCAAAAAATAAAAATCAGATATTCTGGCTTGCAGAGAGAAGCCGAAAATTGTAGAGGAAAAATCTTTCTTTTCAAAAAGTGTAAATGAGGAAGTACGACGTGCTTTAGTCGTTCGCAGCATTCGCTTACTTCCGGAAATCTCTCGCCCACCTATTCTATAAGTAGCCTAGTCTTTAATTATCTCATGCTAGTGCTAGCGGTGCCTAATACTGGCAGACACCTACCGCTCTCTGTACATCTTAGTATAATAATGATTGTGTCTGGAAAACTTCCATCGAGAAATCATAAGGTGGTGTGGTCTAGTGGTATGACGTTTCGTTGTGGCCTGGTAACCAAGACCCGATATCCGAAATAGCCAGGGTTCGATTCCCTGCACCGCCAGATTTCTTTTTGCATTTCTTTGCATATGATGGAGTATGGAGGGCTGTTTGTCTGTCCAACAATGCACCCTGTCGTACTTTTTCCCGACCATGGGGCTCGAAACACTCACTTTACCCTTCCCCTCTATGCTTATCTTTTGAATTTCCATTTCATCAGGGAGCCTTATTATGCATCCACGCTTAAGTTACTTTCAAAAATAGCTACGATATTGTTATTATACCGTAGAGTGCTGGATGCTGGCCAGATGCAAGGCTTTGTCTAACTAGATATACCGGAGAGACGCTGAGACATCTGTGTTCAAAGTCTTATGGTCATGTCTGCACCGAAGACGTAGGAATTTTCATGCATACAGCAGGATAGATGTTCTTCGTTCGTCTATCACCCGGCGACTGAGGATCTACAATCTCCGTCTTCTTATGTTCCTACAGCAGTCATTTTACAAACCCTAGCCAGCTTTCAGCGCTAATCTATAGCCTCGCACCTAGTCACTAACAATACCTACCGATAGCAGACCTCTCGGAACGCATCCCTATCTTTTTAAATATAAACGAAAGTTCTGATCCACTCAGCGGAAGCAATTCTGCAACCTCAAAGCCGTCAAGAAGGCCGACCAAGGCATTTCCCAATTCTCACATAGGCCTCAGGTGCAACGCAGTTCCCCAAGCCGAAGATTAGTAGTTCCCATCAGAATCACTAATAACTTTGAGTTGGTACAAAATAACCCTATAGTTAGTTATGTCTAAAAGAAACACGATTTCATATCACTTTTTAATCGTTTACCACGCTTATTGTGGCTGACACAACCGAGACCTAATCCCAGATAGCAACAAATAATGGCCTTAGCTCAGCTAGCCTCTCCTAATTGACTCTGGCATTCCAATCAACAACGAGATGTTTGCAGCTATGCCAGTGACATCTACCATATGCCTCATGAGGGCTGAGAAAACTCCTGATAAATGAAGCTGTCTTCGCCCAAGCCTACAAGATACGAATGTCGTAATCGACTTCCTTGGGATCAAGCCCTTCATACGCCTCGCCTTGCATCAGCCCATCCACATATGCGTCACCCACTAGTCGATAGAACGTCTGTCCTGGGACCGGTCGAAGAACGAAAAGTCTGTCTCCACCTTGTAGCGCAGCCACGACATCACTTGTTTCGATGTTATTCATTCCGCTGCAAAGCCTCCCCTCTTTGGTAACGCAGAAACTTCGACCTCTACAGTACGCTACCTCCCAGACGCTCCGTGCTCTGTCCAAATCTTCCAGGCTTTGAACTTCCCTTGGATGAGAGAAATCAAACGGATGTGTCTCGCCAAACGCTGCGTGAAGCTTCTCGAGGAAATCTTCGTAGGGCGCGACTGTCTTGAGATGGTCCTTTTCAATTGCTTTTGCAATTTCCCGTAGCATGTCCAGTAAAAGATGGAAAAGGCACACAAAGTAAAAGGCATAAAGCAGCTCCAGCTGTCTTTGTTGTTCCTCATCACGTGGTTCCGCGGATATGTTGCTAGGAACCAGAGCGAAGGCAGATGGAGGTGGAGACCAACTGGGGTCTGCAACAAGGCAACCTAGGAGCGCGGCTGCACTGCGAACAGTTATACCAGCATAGAGGAGGAGGTCCGACCAATTCTTGAGTAACAATGAAAGTGTTCGTGCACTATCCTCGTCTATGCTGCCGAACAGAAATGACAAGCCATAGAACGTGGGAGGAGTCGTGTAGGAAAAGCCGTCGATGATACGGCCTTTCGATACCAAAATTCGACCATGAGAGCTTTCGAAGCGCGGTGGGCCAGTAAGCTTCTGCAATGGATGAGGTGTCGAAGTCCCAAATGGAAGAATGGTAGCTTCTTTTTCGTAAGGGCGAACGAAGTTGTAAGACCAAGAACAAAGTGACGAGTCCAACAAAGCAGACAAAACAGCCGAAGTACCCCACCGACAGGCGTACGCAAGAAATATAAGATCGGGTGAATTCCTCAGTATAGCAGTTGAAGCTTGGCGGAACACGTTTTCGACAGAAGCGGAGTAGTCTGGCTTGATATTCAACTCCGTAGCATCAGAACTAATACCAAGGAGAGCATAAATGCGATCTCTTGGATCAGTACAAGCAAGATCTTGGTAAGCTGCTAGATTGGCCACCAGTGGTCTTCTTGTCTGCGATGACGGTTGGATTTGGAAGACACTGGGAGGGTGGGCTGAACGATGTGTAGGTCGCTCCTGCCATAGTCGCCGTTCCAGCCAACGGTACCAAAGGGAATAGGAAATAGACCAAGGGCTCCGTTCTTTATCGAATACTAGTCCTGTCCTGAACAAAGACGACACTGGCTCTTGTGGAAGTAAATCCATCTTGAACCAGAACGACAAAGTGACGACTGAGTCCCACGAAAGCGATTCCGGGCCTCGTAGCATCGTGACTTCCCGGTTGAGTAACTGTTCTTGAAGAATCCATAGTCGTTGCGTCCACTCGCCAAAAGCGACCTCAATCAAAAAGTTCCAACAATCATCGTCTTCTGGCACATCACTCAAATCATGCGGCAAATCTTGCACTGGCAGACCCGATGTTTTGCTCAAACTGAAGGTCTCGCCGTCCTCCAAGTACTTATGGTTTGGTGCAAAATGATCATGAATCTGCCTCAAAAGCCATATTCCTTGTGCTTCTTTCTGTTGGTCCCGAAGCGCACATCCGAGATATACGATAACTTGGTCGGCACAGGAGTAGATTTCTCTCATAAGCATCACTTGACGGCTTTTTTCATCCAACTTTTTCTGGTCAATACACAGCTGGTCTACCCAAAAAACCTTCCGCTCTATGCTTTTGGCATCCCGCAAGTCTCGAAGTGCGTTCCATAGGGTTTCCGTTAGGCCAATATATCCTTGTATGTTGTGTTCTTTGGCGTCTCCGACCACGACGGCGCGATACGGTCGATCTTCACTGCCCCATACGTATGACAGCGCATGGTAACCACCATTCCTGTAATCGATTTGCTCGAGACTACATTCAATGATTTCGTCCTGAAGAGAATTTTGGCCCGGCGCGCTCGAAAGTCCGACAGAGGTTTCATGAATAGTCAATATGCGAATTGTGTCTCCTCCAAGAGGTTCAAAGTGGTATTCGGGCAGTGATTCGAGGTCGATGGGCTCTAGGGCTGCTACAGCCGTTCCTCCTGGGTGAATGCTTTCCAGAGAAGACATCGAAGATCGGATACTACAGGATTTCCGCTTTCAGCTGTTCTATGCGAAGTAGCCGACGTGTACAAGGAGCGAAGGACGGTGGAAGAGATGACACGGTGAAAGAAAGGAGCCTAGTTTTCAGAAACGTCTCCGAAGACCCAAAGTCTGTCTAGTATGGCCTCAGGTGAAACGATTCATTGAGCGTGGCAAGGCAGATTCTGAGATTAGGCAGCAGTCTTGAGCTGAAGGAGGGGTCGTGTGGCTGGCTGGCTACCCCACCCACAGCAAATTGCTACTTTGCTACGAGCGACTACATACTGCAGCCAGGCATGATTACGCCGATAGGGAGCTCTGTAGTTCTAACACTTTGCTTATCGGCACTACTTCTGTGTAGCTTTAATGCACCCATCTTTGGCGGAGAGCTCTTACGCTGCAAGGCTGCGCACCTTCAGACTATATATGCATGTGCAAGAATAAACAGATACGAAGACTACATCGACAGCGACAGCATACCCACATACCTTGGGGAAACCCTAACATATGAGCCGTTGGACCAATGTAATGGATCCGTTCAAATACACAGTATTGCCCAGCGAGAATCACATCCGTATCATCGAATTACTACCGGGAGCTCCAGAGGACGTGATAAGATGCAACTTGACAATAGAGCTGCGCCACCCTGCCCAGAAGCCATACGATGCCATATCATACGTCTGGGGCGAAGCAGAGTACGACGAGATTATCTGCTGTCAAAGATCCATGCGCATCACAGTCAACCTGGCAGATGCTCTTCGAACAATTCGAACGAAGAGTCTTGGGAGGACAGTTCGTCTGTGGGCAGATGCCATCTCGATCAATCAACACGATACTGTGGAGAAGAATCATCAAGTCAAGAGAATGGGCAAAGTTTATGAGAATGCTTCACATGTTCATATCTGGCTTGGACCAGACGAGGATGGCATTGCCCAAGATCTCTTCAGCCTCATACAGAGATGGATACGGTGTCTGAAAGAGTATAAAGAGCCTTCGGATATCCCTCACACGGTTGCCGCAAGTGATCTCTGTAAGGACGCTGACAGGGGGTCGAAGCTTGCGAAATTAATGCATCGGCCTTGGTTCTCACGTGTTTGGGTTGTCCAGGAAGTAGCACTCTCTGAAAGCGCCCAACTGCACTGGGGCAATGCGACCTTGGACTTTGCCGATCTGGTTGAGCTTGCTTGTTTCTATGACGGGAGCTCCAACGTCATCAGTCTGATCGGCGGTGACAATGTAGCGCTGAGACTAATAAGAACCCTCTTTCAATGTGTCTACCGCACTTACGGCAAGACAGGGTCGTGGGGAACCCACAGATCGGGTCATTTCAAGCGTCTCAGCCAGCACCATCCTCCTCACAGCGGTCTTTTCTTAGACATCCTATCTGTTGGCAAAATCCTGAGTGCTTCAGAGGCGCGAGATCACGTCTACTCTTTCCTTGGGAACCCTCTCGCGTTAGACGGCGAGGGAAAGATGATAGTAGAACCGGACTACAGCAAGCCCGAAGAGCAAGTCAACCTCGAGCTAGCGGCTGCGCTTTTGAGACGCCCTTCTGAATACCCGTATGTCCTCTGCTTCGTGCAGCACAGCTCAGCTGAAGCAGTTACCGGAAGCGGAGTGCCGTCGTGGGTCCCACGATGGAGGAACGACACAATGGAACGAAAACTCACCTTTACAATAGGTAATATTGGACTGGGGAGCACAGCAGGAGGGAGCCCTGAGAAGACGCGATATCGTATCCAAGAAAGTCATATTCTAGTTCTCCAGGGTTTAATCATTGATCAACTATGCTGGACTTCGGA